GCTTGAATGATTTGAAGGGCTTTGTAAGTGCCCAGCTCTGCCGGCTAGTATTTGCATCCTACAGCTCAAATATGCTCGAATGATCACGCCCTCGGAGGGTTCATGACCTGGTCTGAGATCTGGAGGCACATGCATTTAGATAGGTCATGAACGACCTACACTTTGCAGGCCTCCCAATTGGAGGTATCTTATGATTAATTGCAGTAGCTCTAGAAACCTGGTTGTCTATTTATGTGGTGGGACTCCCTCGGTTTAGTAGCAAGGCGCTACTTTTCATGCTCATGGCTTGAGGGGAATTGTCCTGGTGCAGTTCCAACGTTTTCCGAAAGTATATGCTTGCCCGTGCCCGTCTATTTCCTTGGCTAATGCGAGCCGCTCATTCAACAAAGAGCTGCTCAAGAAGAATGACCAGCTCGGTCTTCTCCGTGACACCCTTCAAATCCGTGCCCAAGGCAGTCAGCCGAGCCTGGCGTCGGTGAAGAGAAGGAGGCACCAAGCTCATTTTCTCGGTCCCCCGTCCAACATATAAGCTACTGGGAGCAAAGGGCATCGCTACTAGGAGCAAGGACGCTACTAGGGGCTCCTGGCATCGCTACTAGTAGCATTCTTGCTACTAGGAACAAAGTGAGACCTTCATTTTGTTCCACGGCCTTGAGATCCTTTATGGGGAGCTGCCACAAGTCCGAGTGATGAGCATGATCTCGGGCCTGTAGGAGAAAGCACGTGAAGGGATAAACACACGATGAACAAGATTCTCTTTGCTATGTGAAGGGTGAACCTTCTGGCACCCTGCTCACGGCAATGGGTGAGCCACCAACATGAGATTTGGCTGCTTTACCATGGTCCAGCATGCAAACTGCAAAAGATCTGCTTCAGGTGTGCTGTCTTTTTTGTCTTGACCCTCGCTCTCCATCCGTACAGCTTTCCTAGCCAGAATTCATTGCCACCTCGGCTCTCACCCTTGCGGCCTCTGGTGACGTGCTGGGTCCAAAGTCTGGTGAAGCTGGGGGTGATGCGCACCTGGACAGCGTGAAAACTAGATGTCAGATTCTGGGTCCTCCACAATTAGACTGGTCCTTGTTGCAAGTGGCCCACCTCTTCAGTGGAGGAGCAGCAACATCCTCAGATAGTACGATAATTGTATTAATTATCAATAATGGTCCAAGCCTGTGCTATGATGCATTACGTGACATGTTGAGCCACTTTGTAAACTCATCTGGCACGCTCAAGGTATGCCTGTCTTTCAAGTCTGCGAATGTGCTGCAGAAAACATGACTTTTAAATATTCGGTCAGGTTGCTTGACCCTCAGCATGCTCCGCTGCTCGCTTCACCATGGCGTTCAGAAATTCGGAGACACTCTGATGAAGGCAACTTCCAGATTTGAACTGCTCAGCAGCGCCGAAAGCACACGAGCTTCCTTCATCTTCCTTGCAGCTGCGACCAAACTGACTACACCTTCAGGCAAGCCTTTGTATGGTGAAGCATGCTAACGCTGCAATTTTCTTCAAACTTCTTCTTACTTCGCGTCGTTCCCGCTTGGTGCTAACCCTCCTGTGCACATTAAAAGCGCGGGTGTGGCAGGAGTTGAGAAGGTGCTAGCGCAAAGCATACGACAAAGAAGTGCCCACAAAGCGCTGTACATGTTCGGCAACGAATGATGCTTTGGTGAATGTCAGGACTCTTTGGTCGGCCCCTCTCCAGAAAAATAAAGACATACTGAATGTGTCCAAAGCCATTCTTGACTTTAAGTTTACTTTGCGTGCAGTCTTTTTCGTGGGGAGTTCAAGGGTTTTGACCGACTCTGGCTGTTTTGAACAACCACCTGTTCAGCTTGACCCTGAATGCGGAGGCGTGGGCCCCAAAAGTTTTCTGTTGACATCAGCGCAAGCCAAAAATGACATGTATATGTCACTATACATAGCTGACATAGCTGCACTGTGTTCGAATGCTTGGATGATTCGAAGTGCACTGTCCAGACCTGTGATTTGGCTGCTCACTAGACCTCACAGCTCAAACGGCGGCACCCCCTCCGAAGATGGTTGCAACCTCGCAAGGCGGTCTTTTTCCTCTCTTCCTCATCTTCCTCTGAGAACAGAAACACGGCTGCACTGATCAATGAATGTCAATTAGATGCAATTAGTATACCTCGACCTGGAACAGCAACAGATCTGGCATATCCGGGCTGATGCAGCTGGAGGGCTGCTCCAGAAGGATGATCAATTCTGTCTTCTCTGTGACACCCTTCAAGTCAGTGCCCAACGAAGTCAATCGAGCCTCACAATTCAGAATCATGATACTCTCCCACGAGTCCAAATTTTCATATCTTTGACGTCAGGGTCGTGACTTGTAACGGCAACACTTTTCTGCACCAAACCGGACTGAACCGAAGATAGTGGGGAGTGCGTACCGAAAGCAGGTTCGTCAGGGTAATACACACTGAGACCCAACAAAGGGAAAGTGAGGTGGATGAGATTGAGTACGTGGACACAGCTCCAGTCGTGTTGCATCGTCTTGAACTACTCTACTCCCTCCTTCCTGGATATATAAAAACGCGACACCTGCATGCTTCCAAACAACACCTTCTTCAATCCCCTAGGCACTGGTGGCCACTTGTGGCCCACACCTTATAGAGTCTAGAGGGATTGTCATCATCCCCAGAATAAGCGTATCAAGCTCTTTGACCACCGTGCCAAATCTGGGCGGCGTGACCACATACTAAATATTCAGTATCCTTTCATTCCACCATTCTTGGAAATTTAATTGTTTGTCTTCACAGCGAATCTAGGTTTGTAGTTCTAGTCCTCAAGTCCCCAGGGCAAGCTCTGCTTGGCTCTGCTGCTAGGGCCTTCAACTCCTTCACAGGGAGTTGCCACAAGTCCGAGTGATGAGCATGATCTCGGGCCTTTCAAGGAGTGGAAGTTCGGAAGGCACCTACCAAGCGACCTCAAGTACCATTAAGCTGGCCAATGTTTCTTGAAACTTAACATATGAGCGTCGGACAATATTGCTCATTACCCGCAAAGGACGCTTATATTTTGGGCGAGCCGCCCCCATAGGTTTTCGGTTTCGGCATCTCTTTACATGTATTTTCGTGGTACCCTAACTATCGATCTCAGGTTTTCTTATGCAGTACATCTAATTACAACTCTTTGGGGTATTGGTTTTGGGTGGGCCCCTATCGGTTTTGCAATCAAATCACTTTTGCAAGAAACGATGTCCAGCCGAAGACTCCTGCTGACTTACAGTAACTTTGTGGAGTACTCATATCTGGAAATTATCTCTAGAACCTGCGATAGCTGGTACCGTGGCACGGGCATATTGCATATCGGCATTATGCAAGTGAGGACATGCCATTCCGAATCCGCTGCATTCCCCCCGCAACCGGCCCCGTGACCAATTAGCCATCATTGATCATTGATCACTGGGCTTACTTGTTTTACGGTGCTTTAGCATTGGAGCCTCGGGCGATGTGCTTGGTCCCAGCTCTGGTGTTGATGCTGCTGTGGAGCATGGTGATGCTTGCCTCAGGCTCTACTGCAAGTGAAAAACGCGGCTAGGCTCTTGGGCTGAGCCTCAACGGCTAGTGATTGCCAATCCAAATGTTCTTCAACCGGCTTCATGTTGAATCCCTTTTGTTTGTGACACTTCGAAACCATATATAGTCAAAATAACCATTATCTGCATGAAGCAAACTAAATTTTAGCTACGGAAATGCTTCATCTGGGCAGGGTGCCTGGCCTCTTGGCTGCAGGCTCCTGAGCTGCAAGTGAGTTCACGCTGTTCCGATTGATTCGAGGCTGAGGCTAGTGGCTCCTCATGCCGCAACAAACCCTGCCAGTATGAGAGGCCGTCAGAAAGGCCCGTCCTCAACACCATCCTTGGAACCAAGATGTTCAAAAGGGGTCTCCGGATTCAAAGGCACCTTGTCAGAGCAAGCAACATATCAAGGGCTCTTTGCATTCAGAAGGTTTTCTTGTATGATCAGCTTGGTTTGGGAAGGTCACATCTTCAGACAAGCGGACATTACTATGCATCTGGCTGAAAGACACATATAAACCATACTCATGGTACATGTGAACACTGCTAAAAGTAGGAAACAAAGCAAACCCGCAACACAGATCAACACAGCACCTCTGAATCCATCTCCTCAGCTGGACGCTTCATCTAAGCTTGGCTGTAGGCTGAGAAAAACGTCTCCGCAACGCCTTGGGCCTCTTACTGCGAGGGAGCAGTCATTGATAGTCATTGTCAACGCACGTTAGTAAGGGGTTGAACTTGAAATGGACCGAATTGAGCATGTATATATATATATACGTATTGTACGAGAGGAATGCAACCATAGTTGATTCTTTACATTTGTGACTTTTTGTAGCGACTGTCGTTTTCAAAGCCAACAACAATTTGAGAACGGTAAGTATGTACACCCCCCCCTCCAAAATAGATCTAAACATTTGCCTCCTCCTGGAGTATTATATAGGGAGCTTGCTTCTCCAACAGGTTTGATATGCCATTGCCAAAGTGGACGCCGTCAGCGATCCCCAATAGCTCGATTTTTTTGGTCGCAAATCGGAAAAGGCCGTGCACAAAGATCTGGCTCTTAAAGGACAGGTCAGCCGCATGAATTGACCAGCACGCCGGATCAAGAAGGTGCTTTCTTGCATCCTAAATGAACAAAGCACTTGTTTGCAGTGGGAGGAATCGAAGCAAGGGATCCATTGCTGCGTCCCTGAGCTGGTGCAACCCGGCAGCTGAGTTTAGGACCCTCCAGCCACAACATGCTATAGCTATATTGTACATGATGCTACATGTGCCCGCTCAAGCAACTTCGCTAAAAAACACTTGAGCGAGTCATGCTGACCTCCAAGCCGTAAACACAGGGGCATGGCCAATAGCAGCAATAGCACAATGCACCCAGTGCACCAAGTACTGAGTACTGCGTGTTTGAACCCAACGCGTTGCCTCCCAAAATACAAGGTGTTGAATGGCAACAGTGTTTGTTGGAGCATCGCAGCTCTGGTGCAGCAGGGCCGTTGTGGTGCCGGCCAACATCTTTACATCTCTTTACATCCCCCGCTAGGCTGCTCACACTTCTACAAACCTACAAAAATCCTACAAGCCAAGCCATCACTCATTGACTTGGTGGAGCTGATTTTGAAACTGGTTTGAACTGTATTTTGCCGTGCGCCTTCCATTCAAGTGACCGGAGGCAGTGCGGAGGAACATGGCCGATCAAGCATGTTGAGTTCAGTGGCACTGACTAGCATCATAGTTGACTCGATTTCGAAGTGCCCACGGGCTACAAGTTTCAATTTGGCCAAATATATGCTTGGCGTGTTTCTTCCTCATGACTAGCCAACTTGCCAACTAGCGAGTGCTTGTGATTAGCCAGGCGGTGGCAAACAGACACCACACATCAAACTATGCTCACCAAAAGCAATCCCCATTCTATATGCATAGTGCGAGGAAGCAAAACAGGTTGTCATTGGTTGACGGGCATGTGATCCAGCAAAGGGTTGGAATGTCAGTGGCGATGCGTAGTAGCCACGGCTGTTCCACCACCTCACTAGGCCTGCCTTGTCCGAGACTCTGAACCCCCCGCACCCGCTGACGAAAAGCGCTCATGAGGCTGTGAGCCTCGCAGTGCACCTCCAAAAGGGAAGGTTCACAGGGATCTGCACTAGCTTTATGTCACCCAGAACCATGCAAATCTGAAAATTGGAAAACAAAGGGACACATCGATTTCCATGTATTTTGAAGACTATATTATATTACAGGAAAAAATGGAGGCAAACTAGAGAAGGGCACTAGCAAAGGAAAAGCCGCTCTGACAAGAAAACACCAGCTAAACAAAAGCATTCCAGGAACAAATACGTGCTTTAGATTTTGAATCTAGATCCGCAGCCAGGCATTCACTATTCTTTTGGTCTTTGTTGGAACTGACGGGTCCCACCCTCAATGCAACAGCAAGCAGTTTCGGAGATGTATCGTTTGTTTGCACCACACTCGACACTTTACATTGCTGTATAATATGCATTATATATATATATAAAAGTCACTCCACATCACATGATCAAATTGGACTTCACCGCCAACGGCACATATTAACATCACCGCCAATACTTCCTTTAGGTGTTCCTTCTGGGAAACTTATGTGTCGCAAAGTGTTTCCAGCAGGACTTTTCACCATTTGAAATGGATGAATGCAACCCGTCTCCGAAGCCTCCATTCACAATGTGGCCGCACAAGGTTGTGCTCTTGGCGCACACAGTTGTCGTGGCTCAGGCATTCTCGCAAAGAACCCTCGGCTGCTTTGCAAAACAGGTTGAAGTGCAGCCCTTGAAGAGTTATGAATTGTGAATCATGAGCAATGGTCAGGGCTTCCTATGAACATGTGGACTTCTTTTCTAGGAACACTGGTAATCGGCTAAACTTAGCCGAGCCAAAAAGCTCGAGTCCAGGCCAAATATGAATGCCACCAGCACCAATCTTGGCCGCCTTGGCAGCCCAAACTCTCAACACAAAGGCCAAGCAAATTCAAAGCCGGTCGACGAGCGATGTGCGAGGAAGAACAACTAAGTCCAGGTACCTGGTCGTCTGGTCGTCAAAAGCAATCAAGTGGCAAGAAAAGATATTGGGAATTCGCAACTCATGGCAAACTCTGCTCACGTGCCAGCCTTGTGATGCTTGTAGTAGGTGCCTCCTGGCAGTTCACCGGTTAAGCAACCCCAAACAATCGAGTTTCAAGGGTGAAGGCTGTCCAACATCACCTTTCCTGGCTGTCCAGCTTCACTGTACTTCCGGCCGTAGTTCTGCAGTCGCAGCTTGTCCTCGAAGCTGCATGATTGATGCTCTGCGTTTCACGGTTCAGTTCAGCACAACCTTCATACTGCACATGTCAAGAGCCTGGTGCAATTGGAACGGTAAAGAAGGGATTGATCAAGCTCAGCAACCCAAAATAGTGTAAAAGTATATAATCATTCCGAGGGGCCGGCGGACCGATACACTACAATCATACAAACATTCCTTAGCAGAACATTGAAGTTCAAGCAAAACTCGCCTTACTAGCCCCCAGGTCCTCAGCTTGCAGGGCAGTTCTGTCCACATTGACGGGATTGCCCAAACGCACGGCTCGATCGGCTCGTACCTCGTGCTGTTCTTTGAACACACACCTTGCCATTCACATTTTAAACGTGCGTTCTCTTGAAGTCTTTGACTCGCGCTAGGTCAACTGGTCATGCCCAGCCCCACAAAAAATCACAACGACGACAACGATACAGAACCTAGAAACATAGATTTTGCACTTCAGGGCCTAAAGCGACCTTTGAACTTCAGATTTTCAGAACTTAGCAGGCTTAAAACTTTCACCCATCTGACCTTCAAAGCAATATGTCTTGTCAAACAGATTGCTGAGAACATATTACAAGGCAAGGCAGTCTAAATATATTGAAAACAACGACTCGCAAAGGTTGGTTCGACTTGATGGACGCAGGCATTTCATTGCATTTCATGCTTGCAAGCAGTAGTGGGATGGCTTGGCTTGCATCGCTCCAACTTGCCTTTTTGACACAGCCCTCCCTGTATAATTCAAACCAACTGTTGAACATGGTCACATCGTCGCCAGCTCAGACCGTCGCAATTATGCCACAGAACTTATATCAAAAACCTATATGCTTCCGGCCCGAAGTGCCTTTTGATCATTCTCCTGTCCTGCAAAACAATAGGTTGACCACTATTTATCTGTCAGGTCGGATGTGAGGCGTTCTGTTCCCCAGCTCTGATAGGAACACCTGCCTCTGCAATAGTGTGAACACTGCCCTCATGAACGACATAGCCAAAGTCCTGTGCAGCATCTGTAAGATCAAGTGGCTTGACAACTTTGATGTGAGCTTGAGATGCCCAACACCGTGAATCTGTAATCTGGCTGCCCCCTTCGCCAGTACAACTGACATCAAGAAACAACAGTCGAAGTGACAAGCTGGACGAGGCACCAGGCAGGTGGAATCTCAGAACATGTCTTTCAAAGCTTTTTGTTCCTCCCTTCCGTGCTTGTATAGCAACGTCTCCAGGCCTGAGGATTCCAATTTGCAACAGCAGCATAGCTGGCACAGTACCTGGCATAACTCTGCTCCCAAATGTGATCATAGACGATTCCCTTTCCTGACAAGAAAGGAGGAGGAGAAAGGACAAGTCACCAGAACAATGGTTTTTGGGGAGGGGTAGTTAGTTTTTTTTTGTTGTATATTGTTATTTTTCCTCGCTGGCTTAATGATTTTGAAAACCGTTGGATGCAAATTTCCATAAAACATTGAATACTTCAATTGAGATTTGGTGATGTTGAAGGTCTTTGGATGCACATGTCCATTGGCAATTAGATATTTCCATTGAACTTTTGTGATTTTGAAGCTCTTTGAGTGCCAATAATGTTCATTAAACTTCTGAGATTTTCGTTGAGATTGTGTGGTTTCATGGAAACATTGTGATATTTGGAGATTTCCATCTTAGGTTGCTTGATTCCTTTTATGTTTAATATTGCAAAGGTCTTCAATCTAAGGTTTTTGATTCCATTCATTTTTAATTACAGTGCAGTATTGTTGCATATTGTTGCAGATGTCTGTAATCTTAGGATTCTGGATTCATTTCGTTTTTTGTGATTGCTAAAGGTAGCAAGTAATGAGTCCTTTTGTTTTTATCCGTTGATGGGTTTTCTAGCATATTATTCTAGGGTCTCCAACTGTTGGAGAAGCGGGGGGGTGGGGGTGTTGATTAATCAACGGACTACACTAACATGGAATTGCAAAAGAACATGTGTCAAGTTCTTCTCACAATCCTCAAGCAATTAGTTGACTATATACATTGATATACTACCCGACAGGCCGCTGGATTGACCTGTCTGTTCTTGAAAGCCGATCAGCCGTTGAAGTGCTTGATGACATCTTCGGCTGAAGTCTGACCATTCACTTCAAATACTTCGCCCGCCTGCACCAGAAATGGTTGTGACTCAAGTGGTGAAACATAGTAGTTTTGAACAGTTCTATCTCTGCGGCACCTGTTCCAAGTGGTCCAGGATGGGCAGGACATATTCCAGCGGAAACCAACGCCCTTTTTGCGCATGAGTGCGGTCCAACAATTTTTGATGGTGGAAAGGCCTTGGACTGGGCTGTCGGCAGCAGTCAACAACGATCAACCATCAATGGGGTGAAGGAACGCGCCAACCCCAAACCACTCTTCAATCTTTTTGTCAGGCGTTCATCCTTATGCCATTGAATAGCTCCCGTTTCAAAAGCCTGGTGAGTTGCATGAGTCAAACCCCAAAATGCCAAGATCACCCAAGATCGATGGACTCCAATCTATCGGACCTATCGCCAAGCTGCAGGAGCGGCAGCACGATCCATTGAAGGTGCAGCTGAGATTGAGATGGTGGGCTATTGAAACCACACATGATGTTCTGACCTCAAGGTTTGTGCTCAGTCCTCCAATCAAGGACAACGCTTATGCGCGTGCGCGCACACACACACACAGCCACACACGGAGAACAATTTGCCGTGCATTGTTGGCAAACAACCTGCAACACTCCCAGACGTGGCCAATCAACCACAATGGCAAAACATGAAAAGCCACTGATGAACGCAGTACATCGCAGTACTAGAGACGACTTGGGAAACATGCCACAGCCTTCTTCGAACACTCAGGCTTTGGCGGATCATCTCCTGCGACTTTGCACCAATTCAAGTTGCTTGTTTCGAGGCGCTTTGACAACGGTAGGTTAGTTGCTTGTTTGGTGTCTAAGGCTCTGCGACTGGCTCTGCGTATCCTGCATTTCCTGCACAGCACTAATGCCAGTAGCTTCACAGATTCTGGACAAGCTCCTCCGTAACGCCCTCTTTGTAAATGAAGCGTCGCCACTCGGCCTGGCAACCACCGGTGAGTCTGAAGCGCGAGGAACAGCAATAATACCAACGATAATGCCATCATATAACTCATCATATACCATCTGTATGAGTTTGACACCCCTGAAAAATAACACACATATATATATATATATATACACGTAGCAGTTTCATTTTTTGCATGGGGTGTGGTAGATTGTGTAGATTGCTCTTGCGGCCTACCCATGCCAACACAGGGCAAACTCGGAAAATACTGTTTCGGACACGCTCTCGGTGCCCTGTGCAGCCCTGACATGCCATTCTGTCTGTCTACTAAAGCGGACATGATCTCAAAGGAACCATACAGGCTACAGCTTGCAAAGGCTTTCATCCAGCACAGCCGGCTGTAGTCGGTATCAAAACGGAGTGAAGGTTGCCAGGATGCAGTTATTGCGTCGCCAAGAAACATTGTCCAAGAAAGAGCGTGTAGCTTCCCATGCCTGAGGCAAATGGAGCAGCGGTGGTTTTTTCCCTTTCTTCTCTCCATTTATGGGGTGGGAGCCAAGCGCCTGAATAAACAATTACAAATTGGGTAACTAATGTTGGACAAAACAGATTTGTAGAGTGCGGACAGGAGTCAGCCCGTTCTAATGATTTTTCGATCCTTTCTTATCCTGCAAGTGCATCATGACACCAAGCAAATGCCTCCTGCACGAGAGTATCAATGAGTTGCTTCGCTCCCGTGGGGTCCCTGAGCAGCCAAATCCAGTCCTGTACAGGGACCAAATACAGTGCTTCACCGTGTCATGTGGAACGTGACGCAACAAAAATGCACACTTGTTGAACCAGGAACTGTCAAGGCCCACTCGCGCAGCTGCAGTTTGTATTGCTGATGGTAAAAAGCACGTGAGGATTTGTTCTAAACAAACTGCATGTTCCAGATGTTCCATCATGCTCCTACGCCTATGTTTTGTATCATCGCCATGATCATACCACCATCATCATCATCATCATCGTCTCATCACCACCACAGCCATCGTCACCTTCACCGTCGCAAGCTCAGCGCACCATCATCACCACCATCATCATCATCATCATCACCGTGCAGATATGCAGCTGCTTTTAACACACCTGTATACATTGATGCAGGTGTTGAAATACAGGTGTGGAGATGCAGGTGAACACACCTACATAACCACCTGTGCAACTACAACTTCGGTGGCCCGGCCGATGCTCACGAAACGCGAGTCTCTACGGAGAATGTGTGTCGGACGCGCGAAACTGTGGTATCCAGCGAGGCCGTCTTCTGCCTTGAAACTTGGCGAACGTGAAGGGGATTGTGGGTCTCAAGTGCTCAAACGTGAGGCGAAATGCGAATTGGGTTTGTCCTTTTTGAAGCCTTTGGCAAATTTGGGGAGATTGTGGGGGTCGAGTGCTCCTCTTAATGGGAGGCGGGCCGCAAATTCTTGGTGACGTCGGTGAACGGTGAACGCTTTGCGGACATCGCGCGTGTCGAGCTGCCGAGCCCGTAACTGTTGTAAACCAAGGCGCAACGTGGTGGAAGTTGCCGAAGCTCCTTGTCGCCGAAAACCAGGGTGGAAGCTGTCAAAGTGTGTAATCATCGTCGGAAGTCAGAATGGAAGGTGCGAAGGTGTGTAACTGTCGTCGAAAACCAAAGTGGAAGGCGCCGACGTCTGTAACTGTTGTCGAAAATCAGCGTGGATGGTGCCAAAAGTGTGTAACTGTCGTCGAAAATCGAGGTGCAAGGTGCCAAAGTGTCTAACCGTAACAGTCTCCGAAGACCTCTGAAGTATGCAGTTGTTGCTGATTTGGCCTCAATCCTGGCAACTTTGTAGTTCACAGTGCGGTGCGGGAAGTAGCTCGTGGGAGCGTGAGCTCCGAACTGCTAGCTTGGTGGTGCAAATGTGGTACAGGAAGTAGCTTCTGGGAGGTCACTGGCAAGTTTGTAGTGCAAATACGTACTAAAAGCAGGACGGGAAATAGCAATGTGCGGGAAGTGGCTTCTTGGAGCTCTGAGCCGCATGTACCGAGTGGCACACAGTGTGGTGAAACTACGTCTGTGATGTCGCTGTGCGATGCGGTTTTGCCTGACCTCGGTGGAAGGTGCGTTTGCCCGGCTCCGTGCCACGGGGAACGGGAAGCACGCGTATGTAAACGCAGCCTGTCGCTGGTGAGCAGGATGAGTGGTGGTTTCCTAGAAGAGTGCCCTACAAGAGTGTCCAACAAGAATGTCTTAGCCTCACAACCGTCTCACAAATGTCAAGCAAGAGTGTCTTGCAAGAGTGCCCCACAAGGGTGTCTCACAAGAGTGTCCCACAACACTGTCCAACACAAGTGTTGTACATGAGTGCCTTAAAGGTATAAGTTATATCCTGAGAGTATCACATCTACTTTGTCTTGGCATCAGCACCATGTTGATCATATGTACTGTAAATATATATTTTGTTTTGTTATCAACAATCATCATCATGGTAGTCATCAACATCATCGTTCCCTTCTCCTACTGTCCTTTCCGGCCACCCTCTAGCTTAGTTGACGTTGCACTGGCACCCTCTTGGAATCCACCGGTCCGCCACGTAGTGATTAGTTGGGAGCGCATTCAGGTGGCAGGAAGACATTGCAAGCCTCAAAGCCGCGTGATGCCGAAGTTTGTAAGCCAGTTCCCGAGTAGGCACGCCGCAATGTCACAACCGACAGCAGCAAAAAATACAGTAGTGCACTACTGCGACGCAACAAATAGATACAAAAAGTGCCCTTGGGCTTGCTCTCCCTGACATCTCAGTAAGTAAAACTGTTGGAGAAGTAGCATGACCAAGGTCAGAATGCGGTTGATGGTCGTTGCACAAACAAGAGCAGATTCTGTTGCGAGTAGAACATTGCCTTCCTCTCCTCTCCTCTTCCTCTCCCTCCCTCCCTCTTTCCCTCCCTCCCTCTCTCTCTCTCTCTTGCTAAATTAAAGGCTGTTTGTGTACGCAGTTATCTGTTTTCTCACTCTGAACTCAAGGCCTGCAGTCCACTGTATTCATTGTATGACTCACTCATTATAAACAGTTTTGTTCTTCACGCCGTCCCTCACTTTGTTGAACTTTGTCAACACAGTGAACATATCACCAAGCAATTGTTGCACTCATTGTTGTTCCTGGTTCTGTGTGTCTCCTGATTGTGCGCGCTCTGATTACCTTGCCCGGAATGCCGATGATGTGTTCGTTTGTCATTGTATCTCTGCCAAGCCAAAGTCCGATGAAGAACCTCGCTTCCAGCTTTGGGTGTGTTCGTAGTTGTGGGATCATGTAGTTGATCGTTTCGCCAAATTCACACAGTGGTGATTTGTGGTCTTTGGCCCATCGTCGATGGTAGCTCGTTTGTCCGTCATTGTGGACAGAATACCTGTCCAGCAGGTAAGCTGCATGTCTCACTATCCATGGCATGATTGGATGGCTAGTTCCAATCATCGTGTTGTACTGGTTGATGAGTTGTGTCCGGAGTGTTCGGATTTGTCCCGCGAGTGTTCGGTGGAACCTCTCAACTGCTCCTTGTGATTGTGAACTGTATGCTAGCGACTGTCTCACTGACATCTGACCTCCTAGCGTTGTTGCGACTGTCCTGAGTAGGGAGATCAGGAAGTCATCTTGGTCAGATTGTAGTATGGTGCTGCTGAGTGCTGCTTGTACACGACCACATTCCATCAGCAAGGTTTGTAGGCATTGTTGTAGGTACTTTGTTTGTTGCTGTCTGTCTTGTACCATTGCTGCCATTGCCATGCCTGTCTGCACATCTATGGCGGTGAAGATGGGAGTTGCCTGCTTGTCATTGATCCCTTTGATAAAGGTGATGTCGCATTGTATGACTGGGGTCTTGCTTGTTTGTCTGGGATGGTGGTCTGTTCTCCCTTTGTCCTGTACGCAGATTGGACACCATGTTCTGTATGGGAGATGTGTGAGTGCATGCTCTGCTCGTTCTTGCGCGGTTAGCTGCTTTGGTGTTCTAACTGCTTTTCCAGGTATTGCTTGCTGATGCTCGTCATCGCTTGTTTCCAGTTCTGCTTTGTGCTTGTCTTGCTCTTCGAAGTTTGCTGGGCCTGTCCATTCAAATGCTGGTGCTTGTGTTGTTGTTGTTGTTGTTGTTGTTGTTGTTGTTGTTGTTGTTAATGTTTGTGTGAGGCCCCGGGGTTTGAGCCACCAGGCCCCGGTGTTTGGCGCCTCGCTTTGTTGTTCTGCTCTTTCTAGGCTTGGTCCAGCGTTGTTGTTCCATGTCGCACCATGAACCAGGCTTCTCCGGTCCAAGCTTGTCCCTGCTTACTTCTGTCGCTTCTTATGATGATTGTTCGTCTGAAATTTTCCAGCCTGTCGGTTGGAATTGGTCATGTCTTGTCGTCCGGCACGAACATTGATTCCTCAATCGTTTGTGTATCCTCACCAGGTATCCTTGCGCATTGTATTGCCACAGGTCTGTATTGCCTCCTATCTGAGAAATGGCAGGCGGAGTGCGGCTTTTCTCCTCTATGCGAGGCTCAAGGGCCCTGGGATTTGAACCCACGGCGTGCGGGAAAAGAGAGGTCCTCATGTGTCCTGGGCTGGTTTCCTTTGCGTTTCTCATCCTTCAGGGGGCATCTCTAGGACACATGCGGATCTGGTGAGGCCATACTTTGCGTTGGCCATGACCTTGCGAAGCAGGGCACTATTGCCCGCTCTCTTGGTCAGTGCGTCTGCGATCATTTGCGATCCCGGCACCCAAAATGTCGTGCACTTCAATGCACGGGCCGAGACGCAGATCACAGCAACATCTATCTGTGCTCGGCGGTCTTGGCCGGCATTTCCAC